TCACATTGTCACGCGACAGGTCGGGAACGGCGAGTCTACATGAGCCTTTAATCACTCCCACTGTGATAGAAACGTCACTCTGCACCTGAAGTGTAAATGCACAGAGCACCTTTCTACTCAGGTTTCTTTGTTTACTGTAAAATGTTGTTACAATGCATTTTTAAGTTATATGTTATATTTTAGTTATATTTTATATTTACATTTTTTTATATTTTAACTATTCTATTCTTCTAATTGTGTGTTGTCTAAGGGAGTCGGGCAAAGTAAGTTTTTTATTTTATGTATAAACCCTTGTGTTACTTACTGTACATATGGCAATAAACCTCTTGAAACGATACACACAACTCACACTTTGATACAAATCACGACACTAGGTTTACGATATAATTTTCTTATCAGTTTTTTTTAACAAAATGAGACAAATTATGACTGAAAAAAATTCCTTTATTTCTCAGACAAAAATCTACAAAATATATCTTATATGTCTTATATTGTCTTTATTAAATTAAAGACTCCTTTTGTATTTTTATGAGATAGGGTATAAACTGCAAAACAATGCTTACTTCCTTTTTTGTTAAAGTGAAAGTGAAAATAACTACAGAAAAAATGGCGTCATATCTCTTGCTGTGTTATCTTCTTAACTTTCTAAGATGATTCATTTTCATCTTTCTTTTCCTCTTCTCTTGCTTTACTGATTGCACTACAGTCCCCTGTACTGCTGTGCCAATTTGATTTACCCCTAAGGAGGATCAATTAAGGAACAGCTTATCTTATCTCACCAATTTGAATTTTCACATATTTGTACTGCAATTTATCTGTGTCACTATATATGGCTACATCCCTGCATTTTTCCTATTAGCCAAGTATTACAGAACCAGACAGAGATTATTCCAACAGATTGTACACAAACCCAGATTGTTTACTGCTTCCTCCCACTGATATTCCATAGTCTTTGTTTGTTATAACTACTAATATTGTTGGTGTCGCTTTAAAGCTGTTGCACCATTATACTGTCAGTCTCCATCCAATAAAATAAATAAGAGCTCTGCCACAGGCTGGGCTTCCGGGTGTTAGCCACAGCGCACAGTTAAAACGGGTGTATTTTGAATGAGGTTTGGTGTGCCACTCGGTCACAGAGCAGCACATGGAGCAGCTGCTGGTCCTCACCTGGCTGCAGCAGGAGCCGCTGGACGGCCACATTGAGGAGCCGTTTGAGCCGCTCGTTCTCCTCTTTGGAGCGCAGGATTTCGCTCTGGTACTCGGCCACCGTGTCCTTAACGGCGCGGAAGATCTCTTCGGCGGCCGCCGTCAGCCTGTCGTTCAGAAACACGTTGAGCAGCTCCAGTTTGGTCATGTTTCTCACTGCAGCTGTCTCCAGAGGCGGAACGTCCTTCTGTTTACATCCACTAACCAGGAAGTACAAGCGTGCCGGCTTCTACGTGCCGTCAGCGTTCAGAGAGGCTCTGGTGCTTTACTGCCCCCTGCTGGACAGGAGGCTACACAGCACTGCACCTGTGGCCTATTTCCCGGATGTTTCATATTATATTACTTCATATTATACTCAACTGCACAACCCAAATAGTTAACACAATAACTGCAGGAAGTCTGTGCACTTAAACAAGCAATTCAATGACTTTTGAGCTTTTTTTTTTTTAAACTTAATTTTTATTTCAGTTTCAGCAACTTTTATAGACATGCACATTCACATTTAGTCTGCTGTTTTCCATACATAATCTGCTGAATACAGAATAAGATCACTCTTCAGGTTAAACATACTGTATGTGCAAGTTACATAGTTAGATAAGAGTAATACACAAACATATTAATAAGTAATTACATAAAAAGCAGCAATAAATGAATTAATTAAAACAAAATAAAATGGAATAAAATAAAATAAGAAAAAACAACATGCATTTCACCAATTTGTGTCCCGCAACTTCTCCAGCATTTATCTGAATACATGGGCCCCAGTTTGGATGTGATCACTGGTGTTCTAAGAATCTTATTAACTTCCACCTGAATTCCCGCCATGTATTAGAGTTAGTTACTTGATGTGCTTCTGTACACGTTTCCTCCCATTCATCTTGCTGTATGACTGTGCTCATTTCATTGTCCCATTTTTCTTTAATCTGAAGAGTTTTATTAGGATTCATATCTAAAAATATTTTGTAGAAATGGCCGATAATTTTCTTATTTCCTCTATCAATTTGTAATTTTATCAGGAATTCTTCAATCAGGGTGGGTTCTAGGATTTTATTCCACTCTCTATGCTTTGTTACAAAGTCCCTTATTTGTAAATACCTTAAAAAGTCTGTATTGGGGAGTGTGGGTCAGAGAAGACTGAAATTGAATTTCATCAATGCTGTATGTCATGCATGCATTTATAAAACCAATGTTGGTTAATGATGACACTGATTTAGGCAGCCCATAAGGATAGTTTTATTTTCCTCCAAATCTTCAATGTGGTCCTAGTCCACTCACTCATTTGAGTCTCACCAAGCGGAGTATCTAAGAAAGGTAGAGGGGGCCACAGTTCCAGATTGCAATGCATGATGATAAGCTTTTAGCAGTAAAGGTGTCACTATATTTTTAAATGATTTGTAAAATTCATTGATATAGCCGTCTCGTCCAGGGCTTTTTCCATTTTTTAACGCAGAGATGGCCTATAGTATTTCTGATCCCTTGATGGGTTCATTTAATTCCTTTGCCACAGGCTCAGATAACTGTTTTAGATTAATATCATTCAAAAATTGGGCCAATTCTTTATCATCAGTGCAGGTGTCCGTATTTGTATATAGGGATTTGTAAAATTCAGCAAAAGACCCTGCAATTTCATCCGGTTTTGTGAGTGTTGAATTACTAGACTTTAATTTGTGTACTATATTAGAAAATTGTTTTTTTTTTAAGTCTTAAAGCCAATAGTCTACTTGCTCTGTTGCCATTTTCGTAATATTTCTGCTTAGTTAACCTTAAATTACCCTCAATCTTTTCCGTAATTAGACTGTTTAGGTCTACTTTTGAGCATTTAAGAACATTTTCTGTGATTATAGCAGAGATCTGTTTTTGTGATATTTTCAGGAACTTTTTATGCAGTCTGTCTGTATTATTATGATTATGATTTAAAAAAAACCTCCATTTCCATTTCAAAGGTCACCTTGTTCTGTTGTCTTATAGAATACACTTACATCAATGCTTCTTATTGACATTTCTTTCCTTTATTTGCATATTTGGTGTTGAGTTAATCAAGTTACTTGAATATAGTGATATTTGGATAAGGTTACTGACTGCATTTTTTAGCAGGTAATTAGTGATAGTATTGGATTAACTTCAGTCTTAAGTAGATAACTTCAGTCACTGAGCCTTCGCTCAAACTATTTGGAACTCCGCCTCCCACTTTGAAAACTTCTGAAATAGATAAAAAATAAACAGACTGTAGTGTTTGTTACAATCTAGGTTGAAAAATAAGCTATCAGTGTTACATTTCTTTCAACTGATGTCGTTCCCCAAACCCGGTGCAAAGCATTACTACTTGAAATCATCAGTGAATTATTGATCCTGCAGGTCAGTAAAAGCCTTTTTTATTTACACAGTAATTTGTACAAGTCACTTTGAACAGTAATTGTGTGGGAAAGGGTCAGACCAAAAAAAAGTTGATCTTTTCTCTGAGCACGATGATAAATCAATGCTAACACAAAAAGACAACTAAAGACAGCATATTTGGACAGATACAGTGTTTGTCATATAAAGAACATAGAAACATCAGAAACAGTCCCTGAGGTGTTCATTAACAAACACATGAGAGCACTTATCCCAGACTGGTTGTTTAAAGTATGCCCACTGAATAGAAGAACTGGTTAAAAAAAAAAAAAAACACACATTCCAATCAAACATTATAAAAACCACTGAAGGACAGTCACAGGCAGAAGGTGCACTCTGTAAGATCTGAGTGGAAAATCTAGAAACCACATATACCTGATAGATAAAACAATCCTAACATCAATTTTGGAAACGTCCTCTCAGGGTCTGACCTGAGCTTTGTTGACAGGGTCATCATTAAAGTAAGATTCATAGATTTGAACGTCATAATCTGGAACTAGCTGGGCGACCTCAGCCCTGTCCACTCACAGGTATAAAATACACAAGTAGTTGGGGGGTAGGCTACTGTAAGTGCAGCAGTATTCATTATTCTATATTCAGCTTGCTCTTCCCTTTTGCATACACAGTATACACGTATGACTTCTCTCTAAAACGACACATTCGTCATTTCCGACATTTAACATCTTCCACGAATTCCTGACAAACAGGGGACGTCCTTAATGTCTCCCAGCACCAGAGCTTTTTTCATTTTCTCTTTTCAGGACCTGAAAGGTATGACAATGTCACAATGATCATGAATCAACATGATAAAAATAACTGCTGGGCCATCAGTCGATCATATGGGCAGGAAATGAAAAAAGAGAGAAGATGTCTAAAATGTAAATAACAAATATGAACCTAAAGCTTAAAATAAGTTTGAAGAAAAATAAATGTCTTTTTAAAACACTCCATGGTAGATAGTGGGTAATGGTCTTCACTTCTTGTACATATCGAGTCACAGGACAAGGTGGTGGGTGTGAAGTTGGGGCAGGGTGTTGACCGTGCTTGACGGAGCCCTCAGCTGTCGATCATCTCCGACAGCTCCTGTAGAAGGTCTTCCTCTCCGATGCTAGGGTCCACGTCTTCCCCCTCCAAATGTTCCTCAGTGAATTCGTTGATCAGGTCGTCGAAGTCGTCCACAGCGGAGGTGGCGGTTGCACTGGAGGTGGACGCGGTGCGGGCCGTGGCTATGCTCTGTCTACGTGACTTGGGCTGAGTGGGAGTCTTCAGGACTGGGCTGAAATGTGCAGAGAGGCCTGTTATCTTTTTATTTGTGACAACGCTGCATTCATTAAAAGACATCAGAACCACTTCCAGTAATTTTCACTGCACATTTAACACTGATACATTTTGTATCAGAAGGGCTGTTTGGGCCCATTGTTCTTAAAAGGTTTTATATGAGATATTTAGCATTAATCAATATAGCATTAATTGTTTGCCAGTGATTCTTGGAACAGTGCAAAGGCTAACAAAGACAGTTTTGGTGAGTTTTATTTTGTCTCTTTCCACTTTGAATGAAGCAATAATATGATAATATGTGAGGTAAAATTGCAGTTTTTGTCTATGGAGTCTGGTGGAGAGGGATATTACTGTTTCTGGTGAAACTAAAGGCCTATCTCTGTCGGGATCCTTTCCATAATGTTCTCAGACACGGAGATTAACAATCTGAGTCTGTCAGTGGTAACAACAACTGTTAGTGGATGTACATGGGCACATTTGTCTCCAAGGATTAACACTAGCCTTCGCTCACATCTAACTCTTAAGGGTTAGGGGTTAGGGTTATTTGGATCAACCCTGAGTTGTAGGAAAGACTAACAAAGACAGTTCTGGTGAGTTTTATTTTGTTTCTAACACATAGTTTTGGTCTGAGATGCTGGTGCTCTAGTGTGACAAGTGTCAACTCAATTTTGTATATTTAACTTTTAATAAAAATGTCATACTCTTCTGGGGAGAGATGGAGCATTTGAGTTCACATTCTAGTCTACCAAACAGTACAAGGTCAACAGGAAAAAAACTGTCTTGGTGGTAATCTGTAATAACATTGTTTCTTTGTGATCACAGAATAATATATAGTTAAAAGTGTTGAAAAAATGGCAAAAAGAAATTGCCAGACATCACTTCCCACACCTGCCGAAAGACATATCATTGGTAAAGTCTGACAATACCAACAAGTTAGTGTCCATGTTTACATCTAAAGTTAAAGTCTGAAGCTCTCTGTGGGCCTTTACCTCTGGGGGACTGTACAGGCTTCTCTGGCAGCAGCCACACTGACAGTGGGCTTGGTTTCGTGGCCCAGACTCTGTTTGAAGACGGGGACAGTCTGGAGGTCCTCTCTCAGTGGGCTGGAGCTGGAGCCCAAGTCTAAAAGGGTGCTGGGACTACAGGGAACAGTAGAGCTCAGCTGGGCCTCTGCACTGGAGGACGGGAACACCTGACAACAGAAGACACGGGAGGTCATTAACAGCTCTAGATGGTTTACATTAGATGACAATTTAATTAGCTGTAGGCTGAATATAGAGGGGACCAGTTACATAACAGTGAAAATGTGTGTATTAAACTACTGAACATTAAATGTCAATGTGTTAATGATGTGTTGGATAGAAAAGCATAAATGAAATGTGAAAGATACAAATAAACTCATTAAAAAATATAGATGAATACAATATACACAAATGAGGAAGTATATGGGAACATGAAGGCAAATATGAAACATCCCGGATAAGATGAATTTAAGATACAGAAAAGGACTTGCTACATGCTCCAGACAGACATAGGAAATCTAAATTCACCTTGAATGTTCCAACCTACCTGTCTGTCTCTGCATGCTGTCTCCTGCAGTGGCTCGTCCAGCACCGCGGACACACTGTTCAGAGGTTTAACTGCAGCGACAGCAGACCGCTCTGCTCCCCTCCTCTTCTGGCCTGGTTTCACCTGCACTGCAAGCTTCATGACAGACGGCTTCACATTCAGTTTGGGCCTCACTGAAAAGAAAGCAAAGTTTGAATGATCTATAAAGAAAAAGTTCTTCATCTTCTCTTTCTATGTTATCTGCCTGGAGGATTTGTTACACACACACATTCTTTAGTACAGAGCCTGTCTAAAGCCCAGTTATGTGTATACATAGCCAAACAGGGATCAGGGTTCTGTAAATCCCTTACCCTGTTAAGTTAAACTGAAAGGGTTTCAAAATGAAGTAAGGCTGCTCAATTAATCGAAATTTGATCATGATTACGATTTTGGGGCCAAACAATCTCAAAACTAATAAAATCGTGGGGAAACGATTTTTTTTCATTTT